GTCCAAATCAAACCTTGGAGGATATGCTACGGGCATTTGTAGCGGTTCATCATAATGATTGGAATAAATACTTGACGCCCTCAAAATTTCCTTACAATGATAGTATTCAAACAAGTATCAATCATTCATAATTTTTCTTTAATACCGATCAACATCTGATTACGCCAACAACTCTCTATCATCTCATCGACACCAATAATACAAGAATATATACAATGGCTTATAACAACCTTATAAGAGACACGACACTGCCTTTTTACTGCATAGAATCAATAAAAGCAATATGCGGATAACCATCGGCAATATAAGACCTTCCAAGAGGGTGACCATGTGATACTCTCTAATGCCAATTTGCCACCTTGGTGGCTTGGATCTTTTTGTATTTCTGCAGTAATTTCTTATGTTGCATACCGCCTCCAACTTTTACCATATATTCAAGTTCATCCAATTTTTTGTATTTAGAAATTGAAGGAATTTCATATTGAACCAAAGTGCTTTTTGGATTGATATCAACCACCACTACCACCACTAGTTGTAGTTGGTAACCAATAAGAATATGAAGTAGAAAACATTTTGGAGCATCACTACCTTCGTTGTAGGAGTGGATGTCTACAACTTCAGTACAAAATTCTTTGGAAAGGTTATCCCATTTACGATGCAACTTGAAAATCTACACAAAACCTCATCCATTGCTAAGGGGTAATTTGGAGATACCATCAAGAGCAAAACAAAGACGTTCTGCGTTAGTGGAGGGGGATTAACTATAACAAGGTATAGATAAGATAATTATATGGATAGTTAGAATTATGAAAATTTCTAGAAGTAGGATTAAATTAGTAGACTAGGTAAGATCTACTTTGAAATATTTTAGAAAGAATTTAGGGCAATTATTTAGATAGGATCCACCATAAAACCTTCTAAAAAAGAAGTTAAAGGCAGTTATCTAGGAGGAGTCCACTACCTAAGATCATTTTAGAAAATCCAGGGTGATAGGATAAGGTATAAACAAGATTGGCGAGGGCCTTTTGGAGAATTTGGTTAGATATAGCTTTGAATCTTTTCTCTTAGTAAAGTTTGGTTCTGCATCTTTCTATTAAGATTTGTTCTGTTTTGTTTCTGTTTACTCAGTTTTATCTTTCATGTCTTATTTTTTTTAGTTCTATTCAATTTTATTCTGATTTGTTTTGTCTTATTTTGTGATGAGGCCTTATGTTGTTGTAGATTAGAAGGATCTTTGATTTTTGAGATAGTCTAGTCCTATGTTAATCAAAGTACCAATGTTCTTAGTAAAAATTCTAAATATCACTCTTGAAGCAAACATGTGGATACACAATACAATTCCACCAAAGCAAAGATCTTTGCCAAAGAAATCAAAGTGCACTATGTCGTAATCATACATATGATAGTAGATATATTTTTAAAATCTCTTTCCAAAGACTAATATTTCCAATGCTTAACTTAATTAAGCATATATCAACTTCTTCTAAATGCAAAATAAGCAAACTAGAATCATTCAAGCCTGATTTGTCTACTCAAAACAACAAGACCTTACACAACATCCATATTTTGATACATCATGGAGTGGGAGACAATCTAGTAAAATAACTTATTCCAAATCCATAAAATATTAAAATACAAAAGAAAACCTTTATATCAAAACTGCTAAGAGAAAACAAAAGCAAAACATGCCCTGATTGCTATAATAATGCATGTTGGGAAGCTTACCATGAAGCTTGTTGTAAAGCTTGCTACTATGCTTGTTGCGAAGCTTGCTGCCATACTTGCTGCAAAGCTTGCCATCAAGGTGATTACATTTGCAACTGACCTTGTATGGATGCCTGCTCCAAAATCCACTATTATGTCTACATTTGCAATGTCTCTTTCAATAGTAACAATGAATTTTTTGGTAATAAAACAAAAAACAACAAAAAAGAAAGAAGAAATGTACAAACAGCAAACATGAAGCAACAAGCAAATACAAATCAACAAAATAAATCACATACCTTGTCAAAATTGAAAAAGCAATGAGAGAACTATGAGAAATCCCTCTAACATTGTAACACCAAAAAGAAGATTGAAACCCTACATTTCTCATACATATCTATTTTAAAAATGGATAAATTTTTGCTATAGATGAAATTCAATTCAAGGATGAAGATTAGTATACTAGTGGGAGCATTGGCAGAATTATTCCATATAGTACACTAGTCTCATGTATAGAATACTATCTATTAAGTATTGACCTTGCACCAAGAGTTGTGACTCTTGGTGTCAATATTGTACACACAATATATTGTGTAACATTGATCATATTTATAGATATAATGTTTCCAACACAAATTGCTGGATCTAACTTCTTTTTTCAGGGATCACAAACCCAGCAAGTCGCTCAGACCTGGAACAAAGTGAAGAAGTGGTGCACCGACAGATACAGCACAATGGAATGTGTATTATGGTTGATCGAAATTTCTTCATGAATTGTTTTCTTAGAGTATGTTAATGCGTTTTGTGTTCTGATTTGTGTGATTTGAATCACGGTTGTATTCAAAGTTGTAGCCTGAGCAGATAAATAAAGAGAAAAATCCATGGAAAATATCATCTTGTTCGAAACAGACAGTTGCAGAACAGATATCAACGGATGCTCATAGCTCAAGTTTAAAGCCCACAAGACTTGACTGGACTCTGCAAATCCTGTGCTCACGTTACAATGTCGCCACTGAAAGCACCTACAGACACCAGTGCCATGTTGGTTGTGATCATCGGTGCCGAAGTGCCGAACTTGTTTGAAGAGAGTTTTAAAAAATAAATTAAAAACTGAAAATTTAACAACACAAATATCGACAACTACAAAAAGTAGAAAACATGACCGGCTGTGTTGGAACCACTAAGACAGATTTTCGCAGATTCCACTAGACTTCGAATATGCTTGCCAGGTCTTCATTCTATCCACAAGCGTTGCTTCTGCCGAGATATTCCAGTTAGTTGTGGAGGAAGAATGCAGGTTTTACAGGAACCTCATTTGTATATGTATGTATGTATGTCTCTGCATATATATATATATATATATGTGTGTGTGTGTGTGTGTGTGTACGTGTATCCTGAACTAGTAGTTTCTGATGGGTCTGACCGAGAGGCAACACCGAAATATTAGAAACTACTGGATGGGTCTGGTCAGCTTTCTGACTTTAGTGCGAAGTGTGTGCAGAGTTCATTGTTTGGGGAATGGGGGAGTGTTCAAACAGACCAGCATCACTGTTTTTATATTTGAGCAGACAATTGATATGTGATTTATCCAAACTCGTCAACAAAGATTCATTGATGGACGTCCAACAATAAATCTTTGTTGGACGATTGGATACTTGGGAATTGGTGTGCACTTGATAAATAAACAAATAAATAATGAGGGTATAGAATGGTTATTAGAAACAATACAAGCAGATTCACTTTTTGTTATGTCAATAATTTGAAGGATGATATAAAGCCTTACCATTATATGAAGCATGTCTGTTATGAATTAGGAAATTTGTAAATATTTCATCTGCTCTGATTAAATGAAATGAAATTAATATAATAAATTGATTAAGAACATTTAAACTATTTTTGAATAGACATATTTCTAATCATGTTTTTAATGTCATATATGTTTTTGTGAATATACATATTTATAAATATACTATATATATATATATATATATATATATATGTATATATATACACACAAACACACATGAATTTTGCAAATTAATTATGTTAATTTAATTTTTTTATAAAGTTAATTTAAAAGTGTTGCAATTTTTGATCATTATGATAGATTGAAGTAAAATAAACCAGTTTTTCAATAATTTTTGGAAATATTTACATAAAATTCTATAATCATAAGAAATCATAAAATAACATTTTTTTTTTTTTTTTTTTTTTTTTATTCTATTAGTTACATGAATGAATTAATATTTGTGGAATCCATCATGGATCAATCATTTAATTTATTCTAATATTAAATTGCATCTACAAATCTGCTGTTCATATTGAAGATGCTTTTGCTTTGTAGAATAAAGAATAATTTTTAAAATTGTTTTTAATATTATGGTAATTATAATTATTATTTATCCAATATAGTTATACAATAGATCATTTTTCCAAAAAACAATTGCAGAAGATAGTCTTAAAACTAAAAATAGATTATATAAAAATAATCCAAATATATATATATATATATATATATATATATTTATCCAAATTATCGTTGAATTCTATGACAATAGATTCAAATGTTGACTTTTACTTATAGTATTCCTAAGAGTAGCATCTTCTTACAAACTAAATTTTACGAATTTTTAAATTGTTGATTCTTTGAAATATTACTTTATTTTAATACCTTTCTGCAATTTTATAGTTTTGAATGTTACAAACCCAAAAAAAAATTTACCAAAAATCTAAAAAATTAAAGGATAATATTTTTTATTTAAGTTTTGTTGAATTTTTTTTTGTTGTGTTGTGTTGTTGTCCCCCCCCCCCCCTTCATATTTATAGGTCTGTTATCTGTTTTAATTGTTCTTTGATTCCAAGTTGCAGTACATGTTGTGTCACTGCATATTTTGTAGCACAAAGATTTTAGTTACATACAGTATTATACAAGAAAAATTGCAAAAATTGGTTTGAAACTTTCATACATACAAACCTCAATTCATACTTTTTTATACTCGTGTTTACACAATCTAGCTCTCATAATCATGCCCTAAGAAAACTCAACCATACTCAACAATTCAACTTTTATCTACAATTAATCCTTTCCATTGACACACAAATCACACCATCACATTGCAATACAAAGCCACAAAAAAATCCACATGAAGACCTCAACAATTCACTTCATCCACACACACAGACACAGTTTTCAATCAATCAGCAGCAGGTTTTACACAATCTTCTGCGTCACCTCAGTTGCAAACATACTCACAGCTCAAGATGTCCACAACAAAACCATAACGACAACAACAACATGCAAAAAAATACGAACTTTTATTTTAGCTGAATGAAATGAGATACAACTGTCCACGATACCAAACTCATGCAGAACAGTGAAGCTTATTATGAGAATGAGCATTATTAGTGATAGCCTGGTACTTCCAGCGATTCATTTGTTGCTTGGTAGACCGTCTACATGTGAATGAAAGCATGGAAAGAAAGCAGAGGTTTGTGTGAGTGTTTCTGTGTGTGCTATGAAGTAATGGAAGAGGTGCTGTGTGAGGTTCTGCTTGTAAAGTGAGCTTGGGACACTGAGCGACGTCGACGATGAATGGGACTGCCCCGGAAGCATCGACAGCGGCGTCGAGGAGGCATCGATCTCTTGTGAGCTTGGCCTCACTCGATGTCACATGCCCAACATGGAAAACTCATAAGATTGATCAGAACAAGGATGTGTCGTTGTCGGTGGCGGTAGTGGCTCAGTGCATAGCTCGGACGCATCAATACTTGCCTATCCATTGGTTGCCATCGACGAAATTCCACGACAAGAATGGTCGCGCCTGCGCGTCGGTAAGCTCCTTGGACCAGTTCACTCGTCCCTTGGTGTCAGCTCCGACGCCTGTGCACTTGTATTGCCCGTAATACACCGTCCTGAAGCATCGACAGTTTGTAACTTAAGTTTGTTGGATCGGCATCCTCTCAAGTCTAGAAAAGTATGATACTAGCAAGATTGGAAAGCTGTAGGGGTAACTCGGAAGTGTGTGTGTTTTTTAGGTGGTGATGGACAATCTGGAGATGGTGGTGAAGTAAGAGAGGGAGTGGAGATCTTACTTTTCTCTAGCAGGATCGCCCCAGTTGTACCACCCTGCGGGAATAATGGGGGCGGAGATGTCGGTGTACAGGAGCACGACCCTGGAGTAAGGACCCCAAGCGCGGCCAATGTAGATAGGCCCGTTCCCGGTGACGTTGCAACGAACGAAGGAAAACCCGCTAGTCTCCGCTTTCGTCATCTTCTTCTGGGCGGTCAAGGACCCGCTGCCAGGGTTGGCAATCGAGTGCAAATGACATGTCTGCATTGGGATTCAATCGGTGAGTTTGGAATTCACTGGAGTTGTTCCTGTTTTCCTGATGTCCTACTCAGTTGAGCGTTTCGCGGAGTGACTGAAGAGTTGCGAGAGAATGTAGTTGGCAGGTTTTTACCTCATAATACGACTGACCGTTGCCGAAGACGAAGTCGATGGAGCCCTGGATGTAGCAATCTTTGAAGTAATGCCTCCCCTGCTTGTCGTATAAGGTATCCTGGGCTCCGAGGAAGGCCACGCGATAGAACTGAGCCTTGTCTCCTTCGATTCTGAATGCTACTGCTTGCTGCCCCACAGCACCGCCTGGTGGAGGAGGGCTCGAGTTCTGTTCCCCAACCCATGGTGATGCCACTTTAGAACATGACGTCTTTAGGAAGCAGAGTGACAGTTTAGCTACACAGCATGCGAATCAGTTGGGTACAGAAGGAGGTTGCAAGCAACGCTTACAAAATTAGTGGCTTGAGTATGATGACTGATAGAAGCATGACTAAAGAGATAGTGTTTCGTTTGTTTGTTTGTTTGTTTTTTTTTTTTTTTTTTTTTTTTTTACCTCGAAGGTGAGGTCCTTGGCAACAAAATAATCAGACATGACAGCGAAGGAAGCACTCTGAGATGTGGAACCCGCTTCCTCTGCAGTATCGCCGTATGACAGGATCGTTACGCCAGCACCCGCTCCTTCAATTGTTATGTAGGGCTTATCCTTTGGGATTTCGATCTTCTCCCTGCCACATCAGAATTCCACCAGTTTGATCTGATTCAGAAGCTCTTCTTTCATGGCCATGTCCAGCTACTTAAGACATTAAATCCCGAGTTTAATTTGCCAAAGGCGCTTGTAGAATTGAGTTGCCGTACTGCCTAGAGGACTTCTTTCGAGCCTTCATGACAAAGTTAGCGAACATTGTCCAAGATGGTGAACACAAACACTTACTTGTAGAAACCTTTAGCAATTCTGATGACGCATCGAACAGAGTTGCCTTTAGGAATCGACTTGATTGCAGCTTTCACTTTTGTGTACTTCGCTCCAGACCCTTTCTTCCCCACTGTCCTTATGCAAGTGGCCTCTTGTGGCGGCGAGGGGGTTGCCTCGACGCTGAAATCTCCACCTGGAAGGGTCTGAGTGTCCAAAACAGTTGATTCGGAGTTCTGAGCCTCATACTTGGCTTGGTTACGTGCAATCCAGGCGTCAAAATCTTCCTCTGGAGTTGGTACAGTCTGAGACGAAACTGTGAGAAAAAATCCTGTTGCTAAGACGAGGGTGCACAGAAGAGCAGCTCTAGAGATAGCCATGTTGCAAATATAGCTCCTTGCAAATCAATGTTACTCTGTTTCTGCAAACCAAGCCTACAACTTATGCAGCAAAACCCTGAGCCCGCAAGTGAGCTCCCTGAGGCAGTGGGAGCCGCAATTGATCCGAGATGCAAATAATTGCAACAGCAGCGGTTTAAATATTTCCGGGGTGATGACTCGCAATGCAAGACTCGGCACCATTCACCCTTCTCCATCGTCACTGTAAAAAACCAGGGAATTTTTCCCCGCAGCCAAATTCTTAGCAGGGATGGACTTGACTGTTCAGAGTGCTGACTACCGAGGTCATGAAACTAAGATCTTACTGGAAAGGTGTCGAGCATCTGCCGTAGCATCTGCACAGTTGTCGACGCAGGTGGCTCAAAAGCACGGGTTTTCCAGTTTCATCAGCAGGTGGTACCACCGAGCAATCAGGTCTCGAAGGTGTGAAACTCATATGGTCTAGGAAATTGGCCCACCACTCGACCAGTTCATCCTCTGATACAGGCGCATGACCCATTCCATTAGAATTAGAGGGATCGGCATTCCATTCTGGAGAAGCGCTTTCCTTTCAGGTTTTTCCAAGGAAAATGAAGCTTCTCCTGAGATGCTACATCGTCGATCCGTCGGTACCATTTCGCCTTCGAGATGACCACCTGTCATCCATAGGAATGCATGCTCTTCCTACGAGGCGCCAAGCTGCCACCAACCCCTGCTGGCTCTCCTTCGCACTGCCAGTCTCATGGCAATAATTTGTGCTAGGGACTAAGTCCAACTCCAAACTAGTTCATTGTATGAAGATAAATCAGACCATGAGCTACAGAGTATTGACCCCCTCGCTCAACCACGTCTGCAAATACCTCACGTTGTAACACTTTTGGAAATCTCTTAAGGCTGTTTTTGGACACTCTGACTTCAAATCTGTATTCTTAGACCTCAAATTACTCCGATTGTGCAACAGTAAACAGTGTTCACATGCGAGAAATAGAAGCACATTTATGCGTTTCCATTAATAGATGCGGTTGAGGTCAATTCTCTCCGGCCAAACTTGGAATACCTTGGCTACATGGCTTAACATTGTGGCATCCGGAGCCTGATGTGTGAAACCGAGTAAGTCGTTTGTTTATTCTATCTTCATCATTCTCCGCAATGGGAAAATTCCACGTCGATTTACAGTATTGTGCTGGATCGAGGCGTGGCCAGGTGCTTTACATACACGGCCTGCCTTGTGCATATCCGATTTTCTATTCTACTCTTGAATCGCATCCTCGACCGACAATCTCTCGCACACCGGGAAATCGAGCTCAGACTGAGACTAGATCGAGTTAGGGAACGCAAGGTCGCCCGGTATAATGCAGTCATAAGTGCCTCTGTTGTCTTCGGTCCGTAACATTCGAAGTCATGCTTCAACTTCTGTGATTCTTGAAGTGATCAATTCGAATTCAGCAGTCGAAGGTAAAAGTCTCAGCATGAACTCATTTTTCTAGCTGGATTCGACTTGATACGAATAGCCATTCATAATTTCTCTGTGTCTTGAAGTAATCAACACAAATACTATTTATAAACAACATGAAACACAAATATATATATATATATATATATATATATATATAATATTAAATGAATGTTTATAATTTACAACCACTAGAGACGAAGACCATGAGTTTAGTCTCTCGAAGATCTAAGAGTGTACCTCAAAATCAAGCAGCCTTTTGATCAATTGGAGTAAGTCTCAAAGCCTGAATTATTTGGACGAAATTTCGTGACCACAACACTGACTTTCTAGGTAGTAGAAACCCTTTTGTCGTATGACCCTAGGCGCAAGACATCGACCCACTGTTCCCCCCCGACCAATCTAGTGACTCGTTACGACAGCACGACTTGGTCGGTTGGAGTAATCTCCAGCTAATGTTGAGCTCATTTTCTGCACAATTATTGTTCGAACCCAGCCTTGTGGGGCCCTGATCGCAGGTCCAAACTTAGCTTTGCGTTAAACAGCCTAATCATATGGCTTTCTCAGCACGGCTTCTTCATGACAACAATTCACCCGTCCGTGTTGCAGAGCAGTATTGCTCAGACTCATGATTGAGGGCTCACGAGACCTCCAATCCTTGTCAGATTTCTAGCTTTAGGGTTCAAACAAAGGTACACTACAGTCAACCACGTATTACGAATACCCTCTGGAACCTGAAATCCGATAATTATTTCACGATTCTTCTCAACTCGGAATGCCACTTTCTTTACAAAAGCCACTACGGAAGACCACATTTTTTTTAGCCACGTCGGCAAGCACGACTGCAAAACAATGGGCGTAGAAGTTTGGATGCCAGGAATCCACGGGAGAGGTCAGAACTTGTCTGTTTTGGCAGACTTTTCACGAGGGGTGAGAAGCACTGCATGTCAGCAACCGGACCCACTCGACCACTGATGGAATGGTTGCCTGATGCTGCTGCAGATCGTCTACTCGATGGACTCGACGATGCGGAGCCCACACTGGGTGGACCTGTTCCAGTTGTGTCTCGATGAGACTTTCCAGGCTTTCCTCGCCGCACACAAGCGCTTGCGTTGCAGCATCTGGGGTCTGGAAAGGATACCAGCTAATGCCGATGCTGCAAATTGCATCAATTGCTGCGGTGAAAGCACCGTCCATGCCCCCACATTCCTCTGGATACCCACTCTTCAGGTTCTGGCCCACATTCTGATCCACACTATTCCTCTTGCTTGTTGCTCATGTTGATACTGTGTTGCTTATGTTGATGCTTCCTGCTCATGTTGATATTTGATGCTTATGTTGATTCTTGTTGTTGTTTGGTGGTGGGTCAACTTTAGCTTGTGACTTGAATCACACGAATCATGCCACTTCCACTGTGCTCCTTCTGTAGCAGTCTACTGTAGACTAATTAAGTGATTTGTTAAGTGATTTATTAGGGCTTGTGGGTGTAACATAGCAAGTGCGACACTGCACTTTAGTGTAGTATTTAGTGTATTTGAGTAACACAAGAGTTCAGGTGTATGATTCTTCTGGGTGTTTGCTTTTCATAGAATGTGTGTATGATAACACGGATTTGAGTATATTATGTATGCTTTGTGAGATTTGGACTTATTATTATTATTATAATTTTTCTTTTTCTTTTTTTGCCCTTTCCTGCTGTAGTGTGTTTTGTACTAGTTTGCTTAAAAGAAAAAAAATATATTGCTTGTAAATTCTATTGCAAGTTTTGAGTTGGAATCATAAAATGTTTAAAAATCATTTTGCTGTGTGATTTGGGTTTTAATATTATAATTGTAATTTTTTCTAATGTAGAGCAGGTTAATTGAGTAATGATGTGGACTATTTGATGCGAGCACACTAAGGATTACTATGTTCACCGAATTTTAATTTATTTGTGTTCAGAATTTTCAATCGTTACTTATGAGTCATTCAAAGAGATATTTATAGCAAGATCATTTGTGCTGTCAAGTAAAAATATTGTAAATTTTTGTTAGATATAGAAACATATTGCATTCATTGACATGTTATTAAAAACTCATATTATAGGTTTATTTTAAAATAACGTTAGAATTCAAATATATATATATATATATATATATATATATATGTGTGTGTGTGTGTCCAAATATAATTCATATAAAAAATATCCAAATAATTAGATAAAAAATATTTAATATAATTATAAAATTGTCTTTCAAATTCTCTTAATAAAACTCTAGCATCAAATATTTCAGCAACCATAAAATATACTTAAGCTCTTATAATAAATCATGAGGAGTTTTTTTAATTAAAAAACCAAAATTTTAATAAAAATTCGTAGATATATTTCATAAATTTGATTTTAAAATTTATACTTAAAATTATATTTTGCAAATTACACACTGTAATACATATATATATATATATATTATCGCTATTATTACTACCAAATTCAAGTATTCAAACTTATTTCATTGACTAACTTAGATTATCTTATAATCACTATTTAATTTGTAAAACATTAAATAGAAAATAGTCATATATACATATATTTTTGGAGTTATTATTTATTTCTGAATTTATTTCTCAAACATAAGAAAGTTTGTTCTTTTGCTAATTAATGAGAAAAATTGTATTTTATGCTCTAGAAACGAAAGTCCAGTCTTATCTTAAGAAGAGGTGTGTAGTAACATATCAAAGACAATATACCTGCTCTTAGACCAATTTTTTCATTTCCAATTTAATTTTTAAAAACTTTTATAAGAGCTTAAAAATATTTTATGGTTGCTGAAATATTGCTGCTAGAGTTTTCTTCTAAAAAGCCTTGCTACAATGTATCAAATTATTTCACAACACAATTATTGTTTTGACTTTAGACCAAATTTCTTAATTTGATGATAATAACTTTTCTTTTGCTTCCATATAGATATAAAAAATAAAAAAATAAAAACTCATAATACTAATAACTACAAGATTTTACATCTTAAAGATTGATAAAAATAACTCAAAATATTAACTACAATAGCAATAAAATTAATCTTTAAGGTACCCTATGACTTAAACGTTGTTTGTTTAAATAGAGTGTGTTCACAATTTGAGTTGTCTTGCATTTTCAAAATCTATATAGAATTATTTTAGAGATTGGAAGAAAGAAGAGATGAAGGAGAGAAAGGAAAAGAGAGCATAAAGAGCATGAAATATTTATAATATTATTCATTTTTTCCTTTTATTTGTATATTTTTATAAGCCAAACATTTATCAATCTTAAATAATCTATAAAATTCTAGAAATATCCTAAAAATATCCTAAAACAATTTCAAAAAAAATCCAAAAAACCTTAAGTAAACATCAAAAAAACTATAAAAAATCTTAAACAAATTCTAAAGAAATTATTTTTTAATCTTAAATAAATTTTATTGAATTCTATTATATTTTGAGAATATCTTTATAAATATTTTTGATAACAAACCTTTGTTGAATTCTATTACATTTTCAAGATATCTTTATAAATAAATCCTATCAAAGCCTATAAAAGTAAGTAATCAAATTTTATTAAACCTTAATCAAATACAAGAGAAATTTCAAAAGATCAAATAAAATATTAAATTTTAATTAGCAACTTTAATGAGCTATAATAGTTAATTTTGATATTAGATCAGTTGAAATTTTATATAT